AGAAATAAATACATAATAGTAGAATGAATGCCATAAAACTTTCTTTTATTATTGTTATCCAGTGTTGACACAGATCAAGACACAGGTTAAAGTGCAGCCACGCAATTTGATAAAAAAGACATTTTGAAGGCTACAGTAGAATGCTTTTTAAACTCCGGAGGCATTTCCAATACTGGTATCGGCATCGGTACAACCCTAGTTTATAGTAACAGGTGGACTTGATCTCACTAAACTGTCAGTTTAACCTGTCAGTGATCACTAGAAAAATCTGATAGATGATTAAAATGATAAGCCGAAAGAAAAACTTGCCACAGGACACATTTAGGTTTTAAAGGATAATAAGTGTCTCCAGCTCTTAAACACAAATAGATTATTGTAGTGTGTATTTGGTGGGTTGATGTTGCTGTTCATTCATCCAGGTTGTCCACAGTCTTTCTCCACCTACAACTAAAGGGCAGCCCCCTCACTCTGACATCTCTCCACTTTGTGCATGTATAGGTCCTGTTTGTGCATGTGTGTGTCTTTCAGACCTGTGTGTAATTGACAAGCAAGAGTGAAAACATTGAATTTCCCCTCAGGGGATTAATAAAGTAAATGAACTAAACTAACTAAACTAACTACATATCCCAAAGTACTCGTCATCTTTCTGTCTCTCTTTCTCCTGTTGTGTGTGGTTTGTTTTCTCGTCTGCTCAGACAAGCTGTCAACATCATTAAGAGGGATTATTATTATCGAGGAAGCACTTTATTCCAATCAGTGCAAATACAAGTCACATACAGGGTTTTCACAGGAAGCGGTGAACTCTTTGATTGAGCTGTTTGTCTTCATGTTTCCTTTATTCAGCTTTGACTTTGAGATGTGCTGCTCTGATTACATACCGCAAAGGAAACTTATAATGTGATCAGTCAGTCACTGATGTCTGCCGAGCTGACAGAACCCAACACATCTAATCACATGACTCATTTCATTATGACTGGGCTGACATAAACAGTCGTTGACATTAATGGTATTAATCTGCTGTTTATGTAAAACTGTATTGAATGTAGCGCTTCTTCTTCTGTTTGTGTCCTTTGAGGTGTTCGTCTGATGTTTGCTGAGGTGGTCGGTCTGACGCAGTCCTGCTGCTGGATCTAGTTTGTGTTTGTAATAGTGTAAGTCTGAGATATTTCAGTGTGTGATCCAGTATACAAATAAAAACAGTCATTAAGACAGTTCAGGGCTTTAGGGTTTTTTGAGCCGTGCACTGTTCATATTCGGTAACGTGATTGTGCCCTGAGTGTCGAGACAGATTGGTGGTATCACCTTTGGTAGGTGAAATGGATTTTCCGCAGTGTTTACATTTGATTTCAGTCTGTTCAGTGTCGTCCAGTTAGAGGTGATGAATGTCTGTTTCGATTAATTTTTCATTAATTGCCCAGCCTTACCTGCAACCTATCAGTAGTTCCATTATCTGTTAATCTGGTGACTAGTCTCTTGGTTAATCTCCCAAGGTGTTGCCCTCACATTGCTGATTTTGTTTGACCAAAAAAGTCTAATGATATTTAGTGTATGATCACTAAAGACAGAGAAAATTAACAAATGATAACAGAGAAGCAGGAACAAAGGGCTGGTGACATTTATAATTTCAACTCTTACACAGTTATATATATGCAGGTCTTAACATCTGAAAATTCTTGACGATCTGCTCTTCAGGTAATAAAATAAAGACACCATCAAACCAAAAGTATTTTGAGTCTCACTCATCTGTTGGCATGAATCATGGCTGCACAAATGTGCAGTTTTATCCTTCAGAGAAATGCAGCTGTGATCATCTTAAATTCATGTTGGTTCCAGTGTTTCAGTTTTGTTATTGATCATCTTTCAACAAACAAACGTGTGTTGCCTCCAAAACCTCGACAGAAGTGTATTCAGCTGTATTTTGGCATGTTTTAATGGTTTGACTGGTCACACAGATGGATAGTAGTAACGTAGATTATTTGAAGTGGTTTGAGAAGTGCCTGTGGACACCTTGGCCTTCATTTATCAATCTAACATACAGCCAGTGCAGTGATGGTCATTTAGCTTCTTAGAAACTTTCACCTCCCTGACGATCTCCCTCCAGTCAGCTGCCACTGTATTTTGATTTTTTTGTAGCGAGAAGGAGGTATTGTGTAGATAATTCCTCATTTCAACTTCATGAATCAGCCGTTCCTCCTCCATTGTGGCACTTTCAAAGTGAGTGACAAGAATGAATAGAGACACAGTGTCTGATGGAAGTTCAGCTCAAAATGGCGCTTCGGGCGGCTTTTTCATCTGTTTCAAATCCAGAATGTTGTCATGTGTTATCAGACTAACTCTGCCATGTCTCCTCTTGTCACCTCAAAAATCACATAAACCTGCAAGTAAAGAAACAGCATGCACCGCTCTGCTCCCTCCTATCTCAAGTGAAATTTGATGTCCTTCATGTTGCCGACACCGTCTTTGGCTCTGCAGTGAATTGCACACGTCCCATCAGACACTAGAGGCTCAGTTAGTCCATTTATAAACATAATATTATGTTATTCATGTTGTCATATTAGTAATGACACTGTCAGCACAGGTTGATGATGTTGCCGACTTTTTAATTTGCCAGAAAGTGTCTTAATGACATATACCCAGGGCGTAAAATTAACTTTTTACCTCATCTGCCATTGGCTAGTGACCTCCAAAAATTTACCGACCAAACATATTTTTCACCAGCCAAATAAAAAAAATAGTGTCTTGTTTGACTAAAAATAATTACCTTAAGTTTTTCGTATGAAAATCCAACTTTAGGAAAATCCAACCCTGTCCTCCGTGTTTCTTTGGCGTGCTTGCGGCAAAGGCTGCAGCTCATCGTGTTGGTGTGGGGGTCGTAGGTCAGCCATGACCGTGGCTGGCCAGTGTTGTCTAATTTCCATTTTTCAATAAAATGCCATGCGACATTTGTACTCTGTTTAACTGTCTGTTCTTCCTGTCCAAATCCAACATGTTCATCTTAGTTTTTCCTCGTCTGGCGGTGGCTTCACGGCAGAAATGTGTCGCCACATCTTGCTCATAGGTTACCATAGAACGCCCAGGGTTCCGGTAGCTGACGTCATGCATTCCCGGCACACGTACAATAAGCCGCGAGGGTCAAAATATTCTGACACAGCTTGCAGAAATGGTCGAAACACATAAAAAACCCACATGCAATTCAAAATTTTCCATTGGCCACTGGCAGGTGTGTGTTTTTGTTTTACATGCTAAACTCATTTTTTTCCCGCCATTGGTGCTTGGCACCCCCTTTTACGCCTTGTATATACCAGTTCATCTGGTTTGAATCAAATCAAACTGGTTTAAACTCATACCTCGGACTGGAGCGACAGAACCAGAAATCGACTCAACTCTAGCAGCTGTCCTCCCGTCCTGAAGAGGGCAGACCTTGATCCTCCAGGTGGAGGTGGGGAGGAGGAAGATCCTCCTTTAAGCTCCTAATCAAAAATAATCCTCTCAACCTCTCACTTACTTAACACGCTCCACCAGGGAAACTTTGTAAAGCAGAGGACGGACGTTTGCTCAGAGGAACAGAGGAGAGCATAGATGCTTCTTATATTTCTGTTTGGTTAATAAGGTATTAAGAGGAGGAGACTAGATCCTGGATGTCTGCCTGCGTATTATTAGCTAATGCTAAGAGAGTCTTCCTCTGCTGCTTACTGAGTCAATGACTGGCTTATTGTCTTTGTAATGGAGCTGAAGAGAGCTGAATGGAGGAAGAGGAGGCCTGATGAAGCCAGTGTGTGTGCAGGAGTGACCCTGGCCTCAATCTGATCACAGGTGATTATAGCTGCTCTTACAATAGGACAATGCCAAAACCTGTCATTGTACTGACAGCCCCCACCAGAGTTAATATAACAGTAAGAATCTGACAAAGACCTTCGTCAGGCATTGTCAGTTTCTTTCCTTCTTCTTCTTACAGACCCTGGAAACACATTTTTTCAGACTCCCTATACTGCTCCTTAGCTAAAGATATTTCCAGAATTCTCCCTTCATTTAGCAACACCCATATTTGAGACATTATAAACTGTCATGGCTCCATATGTGTCTGAACTGACATGGACGTGAACTCTAACTGCAACATGACTGGTTTGTGGAGGCATACAACCGCGGGGTGGTGATTCTAGTCATGTGACTTCTCAGTCAGATATTTTGAATATCTACAATCAACAAGAAGGAAAAACCTTTGTGTGTCTGCTCATGCATCGTCTTTGATTTGTAAATAATTGCTAAATTGGACCAAATTTGAGGCATTTCCTGCCGTCTAAAGCATGTGATGAGACTTTCTTCTCCAGCCACTCAATAATGTTTGTTCTCCCTGCACTAGTTTTCTAGAGAGAAATGTTTGTGTTTGCAGATGCTCTGGTTCTGCAGAAGTTTGCTGTTTTATTTTTATGGTGAAATAACTCTTGTACAGGTTGTAGTTGACCTATAAAAATGTGTTTAAATAGTCTAGCATTTGCACCTGCAGTCAGGTTATGTTTGTGGTGAGTGGAAAGCGTCCGAGCTCCACAGAGGTGTTGCATCTCCACCTGTTTTTCAGACGCTCTGCAGCAGCATGAACCTGCAGCTCAGGTCATTAACCAGGAGCTCATCTGATCTGTCATCACCACAATGAACTCTTTGTCTTGCTGAGTTTACCTGCTGCTGATTCAGTTTGTTTGTTTATCACATCGAGCTGCAGGGCGGTGATTTTTTTTTTTCCAGTTTTGGTTGCAGCAGGTTCATCTGGTTGTTGTTTTCTCTTCTTTAGACTCAGGCTGTGAAAATATTGAGTGTAGATGAGAAATACCTGGAATTCATTCACCCCTGCAGCCACAGCTCACAAGTTCACTCACACAGCGCTCAGCAGGTGAAGGTTTTGGGTTAAGGGCCCCTCTCAGTGGCACCTCAGTGGTGGTTATGAGGGAATGTAAGCTTTGCTCTTTTATTTTACCCACTTAGATTGATCCTTCTTGTCCATCCAGAGATCTCAGTGGTGACCGTCCAATCTGAAGCACACTCCTCAAAGAGCAGTAAAAAACTACCTCTTTGTGTGTTGATGGGTTGTTGCGCTGCAGAGGAGGGACACATCCTGGTAGGTAGATTTTTATTTTGAGTCACAGTATTGTGAAGTGTATGGAATATGTCCCTTGAGCACAGGGCTGTTTACACTGGGGAATAATAAGATTTTCAGAGCATCTTGTGTTTGTGATTTTACGAGCTTCCTGCTCACTCATACAACAGAGAGCAATCATCCACTGATTATCGGTTAGAAAGAAGTGAATCAATCTGTTTTATTGGGTGTCATCACATACTCGTGCTGATGAGAGAGAGCAGCATTAGTGTGGCAGTGGTGATTCTTCTTCCTGTAGTGGTCTTTCACTGATGCATGTTGGCAGGAAGTTAAACACTGTTAAATGACTGTTACTGCCCTGAATACGGCCTGTCAGGTGGTGCTTTCTCACAGCCAGATTCATAAATCAAACATTTATTTTGATATTAGAGGAGGTTGAGTTTAGGGAGAATGTTAACGTGTTTGCTGAGATTCAAACTGGCGAAGGTTTTATTTATTTATTATTTTAATTTAGAGCAAACTTCTCCTGAGAAGACCGCTTTCAGGAAACAAAATCCCTGAGGCTTTTTCAAATTTTTAAGGAATTTGTTTTGACGTCAAGGTTTGTTAGTTTGATTTTCTTTGACTTGAGCTCCTAACAAGTTGTTGTGCAATTGATTGTTATGTTCGAAAGAGCAGTGACTGTTTGCAGGCATTTTTCCAGTGAAACACTTTTGCAAACATGAGGCAGAGGGAACATTGTAAGCACTTAATGAAGCTGGCTTAAAACAAAAGTCAGTGTTAAGTTGATAAGTAGCTCAAATGTAGGGCTGGGCAATATGACCTTAAGTTAATATTGCATTAATTGAACATTTGACCTCGGTTACGATTCATCAGTGATTATTTTGTTTTTGTTTTTTGCCCCCATAGTTCAATGACAAAGTTTGTTCTGTAAACTATTAAAGCTGGGATATTTTTTTCTAATGAAAGAGTGCGCAATTTATCTTTGTGATTTTAAAACCATAGAAGGAAACACACAGATGTGTTATCTGTTATCTTATTTATTGAATATTTAGAACAATTGAAATCAAGTCACACATTGCTTGAAAAAAAAACTTCTTATGAAAAAGGTCACATTTTAGCTTTAAAATAAAAATCAAGTTCTCTGAAACATTATAAAATAAATAACTTGCATCTCTTGCAAAAAACTACATAAATATTGCCATGTCAAAAGTAGAAAACAATAACTTACATCCCTTGTAACCAATTTTTTGAAGAATGATACATAAAAATAAGAAAATAACTTGAATCTCTTCCAAAAGGTCACATTTTAGTTTAGAATATCGTTTGTCATTGTCACATGTACAACGAAATTAAAGGTGCAACGAAATGAAAGTAGCTTGCATAGCTTGCATCTCTTGCAAAAAAATATTGCCATGTCAGAAGTAGAAAATAATAACTTATATCTTGTAAACATTAAATAATGCCGCATGAAAATTAGAAAATAACTTGCATCTCTTGCAAAATAAACAAATTTTAAAAATGACCATGTGAAAAGTAGAAAATAATTTGAATCTCTTGTAAACAATTGTTATTTCTTGTCCTTGAAGTATGACGCTAAAACACTTCACTTCTCAGTCTGGGAGGAATAACTCACTAAAAAGACAAACATGGGTGGATATACTGGGCTGCTAGCCAATTACTGGGAGAGTTGATAATATGCTATAAAGTTTCACACAGAAAAGCTAATGCTAACGGTTTCATGGAAGTGAATAGAAAGTGCATAGATTAGCTCCATACTCTGTGAGGTATAATTAACAAGAATAAAACAGTTGGTTAGCTTAGTTAGCTTTCTTGCCAAGTGGGGTTCATTAGATAGATTTGGTAGTTTATTTTGTGATGACAAAACATTTTAATGCGAGCGACTGAAAGAAAAATAAAATAGTCATGTTACTTGAGCTAGAAAGGAGCTGTCAATCAAGTGTGATCTGATTACGCCTGTATGCTCACGACCTGTTTGTGGAATAAGTGTTTTTTTAATCGTTATGAACATTTATTGTCACCCAGATTTTTGTGGATGCTTAATGAGATGCTCATCTTTGATATTATATATTTTGAAGTAATGTTTCCAGTGGCTTTAGAGAAAAGTTACAAATAAGTTTGTGTATGTTGAGAGACTCATTCCGAGTACACATAAGTGTGACAAATGTGAAAAGTCTTTTGCGAATGGACCCCATCGTGATGTCATCTATTCCAGGAGGGTGGTAAAGACAGGGTAGATTAGGTTACCCTCCACTGTGGAGTCTAGATGCTGATGGTGGTGATGAGATGAAGAGGGAGCTGAGGATCTGGATGTGAAGAGGAGTGAGCTTTGATGAGCTCGTCCTGGGCTCTGGATAAGATGACTGGAGGTGATGAGGTGGAGGAGGGCGCGATGATTCAGCCTAAAATGATGCTGACAGGAGCAGAGAGGAGAACAGATTTAAAGTTTGGCAGCAGTGACATGAATGGCTGATGAAGATGGTGGCAGGTGGCCGGGGCAGGTCAGACTTTTAAATAATGGAAATCAGAGGGGAAATTCAGTTGGAGCATCTCTAGAATTCATAATTTCTCTAAATTAAAGTCATGAATTATAACAGTAATCACTGACACGCAGCAGTTTCAGGTACAAATCCAGTTTTCTGAGAAGAAGTCAGAGAAACTTTGATACCAAAGCACATGAAGTAAACTCACTGTAAACCTTTGACAAGTGTTTTAAATAGCCCCTCGTCGTGACATGGAAAATGAGCTGACAAAGTAATGAATCTTTTTCCTCTTCATCAGGAGTTAAAGTGAAAGCAGGCTTTGTTCTGTTTTTAAACCCCTGTGGGCTTTTTTGTGACGGAGCTACAGTCCCTTTGTTTCCCGATGTCTTTAAACGCTGCCAGGATGCTGTCAGCTTCCCTCTACCTCCTCCTTCCTCTCTGGACCTCAACTCTTTGGTCCTCTTCTGCTTGCTGGAAGGAAATAATCATATTCATCCTTGCACATGATAACAGGCGTGTGATTGTAGAAGTGTTAACAGTTTGAAGCTGTCAAGATGTTTTTCAGTTGAAGAGTATTCTTAGCTTTTCTCACAGACATGAGATTGTTGTTAATCAGAAACAGAATGAGAAAAGGGTTTGTTGCCAAGTAGGTTTTCCTCCTTATATCTCTGGATTTGACATCTGATCACAGATCTTTAATTTAGGGTTGGAAATAAGCACCTACCACCCACCAAATGTGGGTGAATTTGGCCGGTGGCGGGTGGATTTTATGAACCTATCGCCACAGTGTCGAGTAAAAAATTTAACAAATGGTTGAATTGGTCCATGAAAAAGTCGACTCAGTCATCAGGCGCTCTACCTAAGAAGTGTAGTGTGTCCTAGTGTAGTGTGTTTTGTGTCATCCGATGGAGTTTTGCTGGATCTCAGGCTGTTGCTCAAACTACAGGCTGTACTTCTGCATTATCAGTAGATCTCTTTCTCTCTCTCTCATGCTCAGACCAAACTCAGATTAAGCAGTAAAACTAAGCAGCAGATCAAACCAAGATTCTGTTCCTGACGTACCTATTTCTCACCTAAAATATTTTCAGGAACATTTTAACTTGCTGTTAAACTCTAATACAAGATCAGCCGGCCGCCACTGTGTCAAACAGATGAATTTGCATTACGTCACCTACCAGTGGGAGTGTTTATTGGTGCGGTGTGGTGCAGTGCATTCTGGTAGTTGTAGGTTTTCTATCTCTTGAGCCAAACAAATGCTACAGTCCCTTTTTTTGTTTCGTCTGGTCATGTAGCAAAAGTATTTGTGTCTTTTTGCTGCATAGACGGCCCAGAGGATGAATCCTATTGACTTTGGTAATCACCTGACTCCTCCTCTAACGCCTTCATGATGTTAACATTTGTAGTTTTGAGTGAAATATTTCCACAACTGTTGAATGGACTTTGATGAAGTGTAGTTCATGAGTCATGTTTCCCTCAGGACGAAACTGGTCCTCTGACCAAACATCTGCAGAGCTAACAAAGTTCCCGTCAGCCTCAGCTGTTCTTTGTGTTTAATGTTTATGAAATCTAAAGATGCTGAACACGATAAACTTTATACCTGCTGAACATCGGCATGTTAGTGTTGTCATTATGAGCATCTGAGCATACTGATGTTAGCATTAAGCTCAGAGCACCGCTGTGTCACGTCCTCACAGAGCTGCCAGCATAGCTGTGGACTCCTCGGGCCTCATTCACTAATATGTGTGTAGAAATGTTCTAATGCTCCGTTTTGTTTGTTTGTTTTTTTGTTTATGTCCCTTGCCTGTGTGTCCTTGTTTGCAATGTGTGTCACCTCTCTAAATTTAGAGGGTTTTTGCGGGAGCTCTTCGTGGCTTCTTTTCTCCTCAGTAGCAGTTTGTTGGGCTTTGAGTCGCGGGGTGAATAACTGATCAGTCGATCCAGTCAGAGCTGATCAGATCAGATCGATGGATGAGTGGAGCAGCTGTTTGTGTTTAGATGCAAAGTTTGCAAACAGGAATCAGGGTCGGGTGGATGGTGTGCCGGGCGCGCTGATCCCTGGCGTCACAGTTTGAAAACAATAGAATAAAAACTTGTTGTTAAATTGTTGTTCAGCTCCAGGCGGCTCCAGCTGAGCTGCTCAGTGTCTCCAGTGTCAGACTGTGGTCGCACAGCTTGTCTCCACTGTGAAAACGTGGAGGTGAACATGAGGTTAGCAGAAAGACTTCAGCTGATTGTCACTGAATGTCGAGACAAACATGCTCGTCTGTTCCTGTCTGACCTCTGTCCTCGAGCTCAGTGAAGAGTGGTCTGATTCCTGTGTGTCCTCTCGGGTTCACTAAAGTTCTTCTCTCTTTGTGTGTTTGTGTTGCAGCTTTCCGAGAGACAACAATTCAGTGAAGATGAGACCATGGTCCCAGTACTAACCTCCAGAAAAGCCAGTGAACTCCCCGTCAACGAAGTAGCCTGTGTCCTGCAGGTATGCTGTCCTTGTTAACCCTACCAAGAGTTAAGCTCTTTCAATCCCAGTGTAACGCTCGTGTCCCACTCAGTCTCTGAAGCAATTGATCTTTTACCCTGTCAATCAACAAATCAATAGCTCTGACACTGATGAACAAAATGTCGTATCACACTTGGTTGTAGCTCCTCTTTGTATGTTGTTAGGGCAACCAGGCAACTTGTACGTGTTAAAGTTTGGTTGCATCCTGTTCTTCTTAACGGGGGAAGAGCCTGTGAAGAATTACTAATAAGTTGCCTGTGTTATTTATCAGTGATGATGCTCCAGTGAACTTTTCACATTGATTTGTGTTCACTAGAACTTTTACTCCTCTATGACAGTAACCTGAGTATCTTTGAGTTGTGGACAAAACAAGACATTTGAGGACGTCATCTCAGGCTATGAGAAATACAGATTGACATTCTTTCATTATTATAGACTTAAAGAATTGATTAATTAAGAGTGAAAATAATTGTTAGTTGCTGCCCGGGTGTTTTAGGTGTTTAGCATAGAGCTCAAGGTTAACATCATGGTCTGATTTAAGTTAAACCTGAGAAAGAGTTACTTTTTTTCTGAAAGTTCGATGCAGGTTTATGTTATGTTGTATATTTTTGATCCAGGTAGTTTTGGTTTCACATGCAATGCAGCAGTAGAAACAGTAGAAACAGTAGAACTCTTTGACTTCTTTGCATCAAAATATTGCTGGGTGGACTGTGTGAACGCAGCCTCCCTCTTTCATTCCTTCAACAAACCTTCTTGAATAATGTTTAAAAGTAGTTGTGTTTCTTCTTCTGACCAGTAATGTGGGGTTTTCTTTTGGGCGTGCATCTCTACACCAGCCTTTAAACTGTTGGTTTGTTGGTTTGTGCAAAACACACAGAGCCGACCATAAACAGACAACAGGCCATGTGTCACAAACTAAAGTAAGAACCCCAGTGAGATGCATATTCTGAATGCACTGTACACATGTTCATAGATTGCTCCCAAAACTCAGTTAAACGTGGCGTATCCCACATGTTTTAATCAACCTAATGCATGATAACTAAACGAAATAAGCTGTTTTCATGACATGCCTCAAATTAGAATATTGTCATAGTGAGAATACTAGTAGAATACTAGTGTGCATATAAACATAGTCACTGTTTTTTGGACAGGTGTCGAATGTCAGGTAAACATCTGTCCTCCACACGCAGCTCACGATTAATCATTTATCAGCTTTTTCTTGCTCCAAACTGTCATCTTTATATCAGCCGTAAAATCCACTATCAGTCAGCCTGTAATGCAGATGATGCTGCACTGAATTTGATGCCCAGTAAATCTGTGGCAGGGACACGTACACAGCTGTACCTGTAAAAAACAATAGCCTTATTTAACTTAGCCACAAACTTTGTAAACGGGTGGATTTTTTCTTAGATTTATCTTAAAGCAGCCACCGACATGTTGGTGCTGATAATAATAATAATAATATTCTTTTCTTTTCTTTAATATTTTTAAAAATATTTTTAGTATGAAATTTTCTATTTTATTTGTGTTTCCTGACTGTCACAGTTTTTTTTATATTTACTATATATTTATTGTTATGCACCAAAACACTGAGGCAAATAACTTGTATGTGAAAATGAACCTGTTTGTGTTTGTGATGCCGACAGGCCGACCTGCAGTTGGGTCTGACCCATGAGGAGGTGTGCCGGAGGAGAGCTTACCACGGCTGGAATGAGTTTGACATCAGTGAAGAGGAGCCGCTATGGAAGAAATACATCTTACAGGTAACATATCATCCATCACGCTGAGATTGTGTCTGATACAGGAATGTTCAGTATTTGTTTGTTTTCTGACCATTTAAACATAACCGAGTGTGTCTGACAATAAACTGTGTGTCAGCTCCAGTCTGCAGAATATAGACGGCAGTTTGTCCTCATTTGCTAATCTGACAGTCCACATTTTAACGCTGCTGCTACCTTATCAGAGTCTCAGGAAGCCCTCCACACATCCAGCAGCAGCCTGAACGCAGCTCCGGGATAAAGCCAACGTACTATTTTTATCTTGTGCCTGATAAAATGTCTTGAGGCTCGTCATGTTCCAGTGTGTCATTGATTTGTCACAGCAACACAATGTCAGCTCAGACAGAATACATGTCAAACTGATAATCCAGTTACCAGAACAATACTGTGCTGTTTTATATTAAATATGGTTTATTAATATTTCATGAACACGTTTGTGTCATTCCACCTAAATCCCACATTAGGTTACGTAACAGTTACAACTCTTCGTCGACTTCCAGCAGTTGACAAAAGACACATTTTACACGCTAACAGAGCGCAGAGACCTGTAACATTAAGCTTTTTTTATTTAACATGTTGTTTCGATAATCTGCTGAATTGATAAGAAAAGACAAGACAGTTACAGGAGACGTGACGCAGAAATAAAGGAAGCAAGATTAAATGCATAACTGCCACATTCTTGATCCATTTACACTGATTTTTGAAATTCACTGTGATGATAACTTGAAGATGAAGAATTAAAATATGTAAAGGAAGCTTTAAAATAAATTTAGTGTACTGGTAGTTTAAAACTGGACTTTTTGTCTTATGCTGCAGCAACTAAATGAAAAGTGTTGAATATTACGAGTGATGTTTGCAAATGTTATCTCTTTATTTGTGTGTTATGTTCAAAGGGAAACATGCTTCACCTCCGAAATTTGCAGGTTGAGATTAGAAACAGTTTCATGCTCTGAAAACTGTTTGAAACCCTCCTTACCTTTTTGAAAGTGTAAATTAACTGTATATGTGTGTATGAATACACAAATAACTTAATTTACTTTCAATGTATTACATATTCATTTACATAGTTTTAAGTAAAAAAAAAGAAGTAACAAACATTATTGCATTATCAGCCCCTCCAGGATGTTGCACTGTTGTGACCGCAACAACTGACGCAAATTCAACCAATCACTATAAATTCTGTGTGACTTTTTTATTTTGTCCAGTCACCAAAACGTTTCACATATTTGACTAGTCATCTTATTTTCCCACGAGTCACCAAACTCTCCTCCTTGTTTATGGTTGTGAAGATGCAGGCATATGCAACACCAATGTCTCACATTTACCAACAAAAATTGGCAAAACTTTTTCACTGAAAATCACCGTATCAGAGACGATTTGGCCGATAGCCAATTTATTTTGTTTGTTTTTTATTTTGTTTTTGTTGTTATTCATTCCTGCCTTTGTGCCACACAAAGAAATTTTCATTATAAAAAATAATTTTACAGTTTGAAGGTCATTCAGTCCTTCATTACACAACCTTTGAATGAGCACAAATTCAATCATACACAATTTTGAAACAACTCTTAAAATAACCTTCTTCCACATGAAATAATTACTGCTTCCATAGGATTTTTACTACATACAACAAATCGTGATTCCCTCTAGTTTATATTTTATTAAAAACACTGCTTCTCCTTAAAATGTCTGTATTTATTCAGGCATTTCACTAGATTACATTCAAACACATCATGAGGACGTGATAATTTACCTTCACCTAATACCCATTTCTACATATAGAGCTTGAACACATCATAATGTAACTCAGTGTAACCTCCGTCAGCAGGGTGTGTCCCCTGATGTGTCGACACTGTGTTTACTGTGTCCTTTTGTCATGTCCTTTTGTTCTTGATGACATCCTGTGGAAGATCTCTGTTTGCCTCAAACACGTTTTGAATTGTCCCCACGACGTCAGTATGCTGTCAGTCATCGAGTCCTGCTTTGTTGCTTATGCAGAACTGATGTGACACAACAATTAAACATCGGCCTCTCCCTTCTTTGCTGATAGGCCGATGGCAGTAAACAAGGCGAATATCAGCCGATGCCCTTATGCGATAGATAAATCGGTGCATCCCTCAAATCGAGATGAGTTTGATGAAATATGCATGGTTAGTGATAAAGAAAAACTCAATGTGTGTGATAAAGAAATAGTTTTAGAAAAGTTCCTCAGTCGAAGTCTAAAAATGTTTAAACATGGTGTGAAAACTTTATTCAGCCTTCTCTGTAAGGTCATTAAAAACACTCAGAGCACTGCAGTTTTATTCTCACTCAAACAAGTTGCTTTGGATTTTTAATCATTTATACAAATAAAATTAAAAACAGAACAATTTTGAAATTTCATTGAAAAGAAATGCCTTTAAACATCCCAATATGCGTCACGTTTTTGTTAGAAAAGCTGCTGTGAAATCAGGAGTTTACGGCCGCCATGATTTTAAGAAAAGCCTGGGGAAACTGTTTTATGACAGGGTTCGATTTGATTATAATTTGTTGTTTTTTTTGTATTACACTATTTAATTTTTCAAACAAAAAATAATCACATGCTTTTCAGATTATAGTCTGAAGGATAACATATTACAAAAGGCATTTTGATTTCTTTTCGCTCACATAAATTCCGAAGATAAAATCTTGTTTTTCAGTCCCAACATCATGTTTCGTTTCCTAGTTTGATATTTTTAGGGAAATGTTAAAGACAACGTTCATTCACCTTTTGTGTTAATAGTTAACACTGCAGGAAAACAGGACCAATCAGAGGAGAGGGAGATGAAATGGGACAAAGGTCTGAATTTGACCCCAGGGTGTTGTTTTCCACATATTCACCTTTGACTCTTTAAGATTTAAATGTCATGTATTGTGCACTTGGATGAATCTTTTCCTCATATATGAGGCAAAGTGACCAAAGGACCAAACCAGACAGTCAGAGGAGTTTTTACACCAGGAAACAAACTGAACGCAGGATTCAGAGTGGAGTGGTTAAATAATGGAGGCAGCCTGAGGGAGTTTTTGTTGCTGGTCTGTTTTGTCCACATGAACTTCGACAAGGACAGAAACTGCTGCTGTTGAGCTGAGCAGCCAGAGGAAGGAGGGACGAGAGGAGGGACGAGAAACCTCTGAGAGCAAAACACAGAGGTTAAATATAGAACGCCAGCACGAGAGGAGGAGAGGGAGGGAGGATACAGAGGACAGAAGGAAAGGAAGCGAGGATGAGACAGAAGGCAGAGGAGTGAAGGAAAGGAGAGGAGGTGTTGAATCTTTTCAGCTCCTTGCACACATGAAACCCTCGAGATTTCTGCGTGAACTTGTTTCACTATCAGCCGTAATCTGTCAGGTTCGTTCACACTTAACCTGACAGGCCTGAAAGGTGAGGAGAGGCAGTCTGTCTTTTATTCTATCAACAGGAGGATCCACAGTGTCTCTGCTGCTGATATTCATGTGCAGATTCATGTCTGCATCTGCACAGTAAAACTCTGAGTTTGTGGGCCATGGCGCACTCACAACATAAACCCATCCACACTGAGGAATTAGCCACGCTACAGGTGTGAATTTGGTCCCACAGCTGCTGCCCTGGAGTGTTGATGTGTTGATGCCGAAAAATAAGACCGTGTCGCTAACAGATGGCAGATAAATAACTTATCCAGCAGCTTTGTGGATGAAACAGTGAAGAGTTAAAGTTTTCGCTGCTGCTGTGTTCAGTCGTTCATGTCGATGATGTGGAAACCGGGTCATTTAGATGCTGGAGCTGAAAATAGAGCTGGAACTGTTGGCCTGCTTCACTCAGCAAGCTCCGCCTTCTAGCTATGGATGACTGACACTTGTTTCCGTTTGTCCACACATCATGGAAAACACACACACTTGTTGTTCTGTCTTTATCGAGACCCTCATAGGACAACCAATACCAAGACCCCAAATACAAGTGTATAAACCTTCAAACAGCCCTGTGAGGATGCAGACAAAATGTCCTCACTTTAAAAACATATTTTATCCTTTATTAAACAGGTCGCCTCAGTGAGATCAAGAGACTTGTGCACAAGAATGAACACAATGTTTATATACACCGATCAGCCAAAACTTAAAGGACCTGCCACCAGTGTCTCGGTGCCAGACACCACAGTACACCCCCAGAGGTCCTGTGTCCATGCCTCAACAAGTCAGAGCCAAGTCCGATGCAAGAAAGCTCTGCCGTGGATTGCGGGTACTTCTGGGGTACCAAGAATGCTCCATGGGTTTGGGATCTGGGCAACTGGGAGGCCAGGACGATAGGCACGTTTCCACTGAAGAAGTTCCTGGTACTGTTTGGGGGCAGGAACTACTACAGGAATGTCCTTTCGCTCGGCCCTCTTAACCGCCGTGCCTCTACTGAGAGAGCGGAGTACGAGGAAGGTTCCTGTAAAGTTACGGGCTCTGGATGTGACGTAATCGTTGCGCGACCATTTACCGGGGCGACGTAGGGACGCCGTTAGCTGTTAGCCGTTAGCGGTGTCTGTAATAACTCAATAAACGGTCCATGAAAAAAATATTTTTTCCAGCGGATGTCTTAGTTACAACATGATTGAGCTAACTGGAGTAGTTTCATGTCATATCCGACAACGGGAGGCTTTTAACAGATGACGTCCTGATGTTAGCTTTGCTGCTGCTGTCAGCTGTCCCTGTCAGCTGCAGCCACTGATGCTTCATGATTTCCCAAAACTGAATAAATACCACACATAACAACACAAAACTGCTTTGCTAGCTCAATCATGTTGTAACTAAGATATCCGCTGGAAAAAATATTTTTTTCACGGGCCATTTAGTGAGTTTTTTTACATGGCGGAGGAAGCTATATGAACGAGCTAACCCTCGTCTGCTGAGTTTTAAAAATGCCGGCTTTTTGTCGCTTTCTGTTGACGTCACATCCCTCCTTGAGTATATCCAATCAGCACCAAGTAAATCCCCAAGCCCCAGTCAGGAGTCTTGCGGGGCCGTTCTGAGTACCTACTCCGAGGCAGGGACTTGTTTAGCCCCTGTAAAAGTTCCGGAACTCTGACCTTCGGGGGTGGTTCCTGCGGTGGAGACACGCACCAACGGCCCCGGCCCCGTAAAATTACCCCGAAGTTCCTGCGGTGGAAACGGGCCTGATGTCTTGAGCTCTTTGTCTAAATTCCAGAACAGTTTTTGCAGTGTCGCCATGAGGGGGTGTGCTTAGTCTGTAACAGTGGGTGTTGCATGTCGTGTGGCATCCACATGAACGCCAGGACCAAAGGTTTCCCAACAGATCATTGCACTGTAAGAAAATGATTAATGCAATCGGGCGGCACATTGGTGCAGTGGTTAGCATTTTCGCCTCCCAGCAAGAGGGTTCCCGGTTCGATTCCAGGGTAGGGGGTTTGGACCCCTGGGTGAGGGAGCCCTTCCTCCCACAGTCCAAAGACATGCAGGTTAAGGGTAAACCCTGCCTCTCGCCCAGTGTCAGCCACCCCGTGATCCCAAACAGGATAAGCGAAATGAATGAACCTCACCTGTCAGTGGTTGTAATGTTTTGGCTGATCAGTGTATATACAGTACAAGCATTGACAAACACACAACAATTCACAACACACAGTTTACACACACAGAACAGTGGCTTCACATTGAAAAACAATTACAAGTAGCGTTCAGCATGCTTGAAATCTTAAAAAAACTTTTGAGTTGTCGAAAAGATTTTCCACACTTACATCATACAGTGTTTGATGTTAAGTGCAAAGATGTAAGTGTGTGGAAATGTTTTATACCATTTTGGACTTATCGATGTTTCCAGTATCAAAATAGCTTTTAACAAAATGACTGATTTTATTTTCCCAAAATGTCCCAATTTTCTCAGTGTCCCAAAATGTTCTCACTTTCCCAAACCTAATTTTACAAACTTACTCACCTCCCAAAATGTTAAAAATGACGTCAATATCAAGTGGCTTCGTTCCAAATCACAGTACTGTAATGTCTGACCTCAGTTAATACCTTAAGAAATATTGATATTTCACTGACACCATGGACATAAAATTTTTAACTTTGAACAGACAGATTTAAATTTAGTGGTCAAGGGTCAACGTCACTGTGACCTTGCATCTGCCTCATTTGAATGAAGGCTATATTTCAAGAAACATTTCAGGGAATGTCCTCAAATTTGGCACGAACATCCACTTGGACTCAACAGTGGACAGATGAGAATTTTCTTCGTCAAAGGTCAAAGTCACTGTGACCTTGCATCCATCTCATCTGAGTGAACGCTATATTTCAAGAAGGCTTTGAGAGAATTTCCTCAATTTTGGCACAAACATCCACCTGGACTCAACGATGAACTGATTAGAATTTGGCGGTCACAGGTCAAGGTCTCTTCGACCACCAAAAACATGTTTTTGGCCGTAACTTAAGAATTCATACGCTAACTATGACACAATGTTACACAAATGTCTGACAGGATAAAATAATGAAGTGATGACATTTTACATCCAAAAGGTCAAAGGTCAGCCTCACTGTGACATCATCATGTTTTAACATCATATCTCAGGAACAGAAGGAGAGACATTTGGTCAGATACTGAATTGGTGACTCTAATCTCTAAACTGTGCTGATTGTATAGATCTTCTGTGTGTGAAGCATCTATGTTTTAGAATTTGTAGCGTCTTTACGGTAACATCCCTTTTTGAGTTATTGTCAGCTGTCATGGCAACATATGAGTCTGTACAGATGTGGATGTAAACTGCGACTGCAACTTGACTGGTTCGCGGACGCATACAACCACAAGGCGGTGATTCTGGTGTTGTTTCGTTGCCTCTAACTCAGCTCCCTGATGTCTCTTTCTTTCTTTCTTTCTTTGTCTCGCTCTCTGCAGTTCAAAGACCCTCTCATCCTGTTGCTGTTGGCGTCGGCCGTCATCAGCATTCTCATGCACCAGTTTGATGACGCCATCAGCATCACAGTGGTATGTTACACCTTGCACTAAAATAAAGGCGCACTTCAGTCGTTAATGTCTTTAGTGTTTTTTCTTCTTCCTTGAGAAAACGCCCCAGAGACCTGCAGTTCTTGTAAAGTTATTAATAGACACAGCAGCTTATGGCAGCGTCAGCAGTGGAGAAGATGTAGAAACATGCAGGATATCCGCTGCCTGCGAGTTTGGTAAATTAGATTATATAAAAGTTATTTTTTCTTTTTGGATCCTTGTGGGGGAAAGGTTGTTGCAGCAGTGAATAATTGAATAGATTATGTGCAGGAGAAGAGAAAAGCAGAGAAACATAAAGGAAATATGTCTGATTGTAAAATGTACAACTTAAGTTCTGTTGTGTTGCACAATTTGATGATTCATCATTTCACTGGAGATTGCTTCAGTGTAGTGAAAATGAATTTTGATGTAGAGTAACTACATTTTCAAAGTAGCTTCCCCAACACTGTTGCCAAGTTTTCATGCATGGGAAGTTAGAATTCCCTGGAAGGAGAAGAGGAGGAGGAGGAGGAGGAAGAGAATTTTGGCAAGTACCCGAGGGACTGACAGTAGAGCTGCCTGGGCCCTAATTACGACAGAACACACGTCTAACAGGATAAGATGATGAAGTGATGACATTTTATATCCAAAAGGTCAAAGGTCAGCTCCACCGTGACATCATAATGTTTTTCAAAAACATTTTTCTGGGTATTTTTCAGTGTCATATCTCAGGAGCAGAGGGGGAGGCATTTGGTGAGATACTGAATTGGTGACACTAATCTTAGGAGAGCATCTTAGGGCCAGGTTAGATTTGAAAACGTGTGTGTAGTATCCAAGTATTCATGTTTTAGAATATGGAGCTTCTTTGCAGCAACATCCACATTTGAAGAATTGTCAGCTTTCATGGCTACATATGAGTCTGGACAGGCATGGTTGTAAACTGTAAAAGCATCTTGACTTGTTGGGGAGGCAGACAACCACGAGGCTGTAATTCTAGTTTCCCTTCTTTTCTTATAGAAATTAATGAGAGGCTGCTTTTCCCCCACACACTGCTGACATTTGTCTAAACACAACTGGTCATATGCCAGTGGATTTTCACATAAATGCTCTGTGACCTGACGCAGACAAGACTGTTATGATTAGCTGTAAGTTTCAGAGGCTAAATCTCGGAGGAAAGTGTCACACAGGCTGATTGGCTGATCTGACCCCTGTAGGGAGAGCCCATCTGTGAGGCTGCAGGACAAAGAGTCGTAGTAAACATTGCATCATCTCACTGTTTGAACATGTACTTTAAACGTTTGCACAACTTCCAGGAAGCTTAAAAAGGTTTTACTGAAACAAGGAATGTAATATGCAAACTATCTACAAATATTGATAAACACACAGTTTGTTTGTGGCTTCACTGATTTGTTGTTTATCTAAAGAGTAAATATTAGATACTAGTTTCTGGCTCTTATTACCATGGTCTCTGTGGAGTTTTAGTACGTCAGTCTTTCACATATAGTCACTATAAAAACTTTTTACCCTCATTGAAAGTTTTCATGTTTTCTTGTTTTTCAACACTGACTGAAATTAGATTTAATGTCGCTGTTTTGACGCTGATCAACAGAAAAAGAGCACAAAATATCAAAGTGAAAACAGATCCTTACAAACAGATTTTAATGAATAATGAAATATAAAAAACTTGTTTGCATGAATATTCAGCCCCTCCAAACCAGTACTAATGAGATGCACCATAGCAGCAATTTTTGTCTTAGGTCTGTGCTTAGGTCTGGTCTCTGCTTTCAGAAAAACAAATCGAACCAATTAATAAATAAATAATAAAAATAATTTATTAAAAATGAAGTAGAAATATTTACATTATATGGTAAAAAAAAAATGTATTTTTGTTTTTTTGTTTTTTGTTTTTTTTTTAAATAAATTTGTCATACTTCGAAAATAAAGTCATGGTATTTTGAGAAAGAAATATAAATACTTCATTAACAAAGTCAAAATATTTTGAGGAAAAAGTTGTGCTATTTTTAGAATACAGTCAAAATAATACAAGAGATTTTTTTAATAATAAAGTCCTAATACTTTTAAAATAAAATCATAGGATTTTGAGAAAGAAATATCAATATTTTTTCTTAATAAATTCAAAATATCTTGAAAAAAGATGCACTGTTTTTAGAATACAGTCAAAATATTACAAGAATTTATTTGTAATAATTGAAAATTAAGAAAATTAAAGAAATATGATATTTTGATTTTGACTATTTAAAAAAACAATACTTTCCCTTTTTCTTGTATTTTTTGTACTAAGTTTTCATAGTATTTTGAGAAGAAAGACAAAATATCACAAGAGAAGATTATTTTTTTAAAAATAAATCTGTAATACTTTTAAAATAAAATCATTGTATTTAGAGAAAGAAATATAAATATTTTGTAATAGAGTCAAAATATTTTGAAAAAGTTGCACCTCTTTTAGAATGCAGTCAAAATATTACAAAAGTTGTTTTAATTTGCAATTCTTCAAAATTAAAGTCATAATATTTTGACATTATAGTAGAAATATTAATGAGGAAAAAAGCTGAAGTAGTTTAAAAAAACAATACTTAAATTTCTTTTCTTGTAATTTTTTTAAAAACTTGATTTCCATAGTATTTTGAGAAGAAAGTCAAAACATTACAAAGGCCGTTTTTGGTCCTGCGAAATTTTTTATTTGTTTGTTTTTTGACTATTTCAGTTTTGCTGTGTGAAGCAATTTGGGCGTCATGTTTGTATGAAAGGTGCTATATAAATAACTAAAGCTACAGTTCAAAATATTTTGATAATGAAGTTGTTAAATTCTGAAAATAAAAAAATAGTACGTGAATAGTATAAATATCTGGATAGTAAAGTCATACATTTTTACAACATTTTAATATTTGGTTGTGCTGAGCAGGTGAGGTCAGTCTGTCAGCTTTCACCTCTCGACTACATTAAATGAGACGTAACTCAGTGTCCAGTTTCAGGAGCAGAGAATTTATAAACATCAGCTGTATTAATCACCTGCCCCTCTCTCTCTCTCTCTCTCTCTCTCTCTCTCTCGGTCTGTGTTTCTGTCTCGTCACAGGCCATCATCATCGTAGTGACAGTTGCTTTTGTCCAGGTGAGTCTTCTTTATGTCTACGACAACATTTCTTCATTTTTAATGAGCTCATAAACGTTTATGGCCACAAACATAAAAAGATATTTACAGTGTGAATCTTTAAGTAGTCTGCTGCACATTTAGAGTGTGTGTGTGTGTGTGTGTGTGTGTGTGTGTGGTTTGAATATATATTTTATACATATATTCATGACTTTCTCACAGTTTTTATAACTCTGTTGATCTGAGTTGTTTGTCGTCTGTGTGTAGGAGTACCGCTCAGAGAAGTCTCTAGAAGAGCTCGGGAAGCTGGTGCCTCCAGAATGTCACTGGTAAAAATTTCATCCTTCCTCCTCCTCCTCCTCCTCTTCCTCTTCTTCTGTGGTTAATACAGCCTTGTTAATGTGATTCAGTCCAGGCCAGCGGTCAGAGCTCACACCGAAGGGTTCAGTTCCCACAGTACACACAGTCCGGTCAGCTGTTTCGCTTTAATGTTTTATATGTAGTTTCACCAGCAGTGCTGCAACCAACCATTATTTAATAGAGAATAGTTCAGTAAACTGATGTCAGTAAATTGCCTGTTTTGTCTCAACAAGATACAATAAAATGTCAGACTTTTAATTTATTTGCTTTATAAAACAGAAAAGCAGCAGATCTTTGAAAAAAAACTGTGCCACAATTTTTTTTTATTCAACAACTAGGATTTGTCCCCAGGTTCATTGTAAACTCTGACTTATCCATGTGACTGTTAAGAAGCAGAAACATAACTTGTTTCTTCATGTGCAACATGTTAGTCTGGAGGTTTAAACTGGTGTCCTCTCACAGAGTTGGTGATTCAAACTAATCTTTGATCTCTGTCAGAGAAAACTGATCTGAGTTCAGACTGTTTACTTACAGCACAGCTACACTCACAGATAACTGAGCCTCCTACCTGCCTGTCAAACACCATCAACCCACAAACCTTCTCCAGTCCGGACTGAGTGGAGTCCTGCGGGGTGAAGCTGTGAAGTCTGCGAGCGGAGCTAGCTGCTAACAGCCACTGCTGCAACTAACAAACTCCACAAATCCATTCAGCAGCTCCACCATCCACAGTCAGACACACACGGCTGATAATTTACTGCTGAATTACAGCTCACAACTCGCACCAACCCAAACATCCTGGTGCAGACTATTTACTGGAGTTTACCAGCCTGTTGCTCATGCTGCATTTGAAAATAATTACAAGCACGGCTGTTCTGACTTTTAATGTCCGATATTTCACCACGAACATTTTTGTCATGTCTCGTCTCGTCAACAAAAACAAAACATAGATTTTGTCTTAATTTTTATTACTAGGGTTTTTGATTTAGCCCGTCATCGTCTCGTTTTCGTCATTGAAAAAAAGTCGCTGTCGAAAATGTTTCTTCGTTGTGTCGCCAACAAAATGAGCACTGATGTGAAGCATCACTTTTAAGATAGCACAGCATGGTATTGTCATGCTTCTTTTCCATACAAATTATGTACAAAAAATGCGGCAAACCTAACTTAAAAAAATAAATAAGGGAAAACAACAACCATTATAATTATTAGTTAAAACATAATAATGATACTTGTATAACATCACCTGCTAAATGTTTTTACCTCCATATCAAAGAGCAACACGAGACCTTTAACAGATCACCAGCCTCACACTCCCTCCTTATCTACCCTGTCCCCACCCACACTCCGCACTGCAACTCACAGATTAGCTCACTTCATCTTTAATGTATTCGTTTGTTTAATGTTTATTTGTTTTGGGACAAACATGTAGCGTAAAACGATGCCACACACTAATTAGCTGTCCCTGTCTCCAGATGGGGTCGGTATAAGATAATGAAAACACAACAGTTCTTATTTTCAGGTGATTATACACTAAACTGAACATACTTATTATATTTCGGTCAATATATCCCCGTAAATCCTTCACACTGGACCTTTAAAGGAAGTCACTGAAGCGAAGGAGCGTTTTCTGAGACGTCTGATGACGACAATTCAGAGACAGAAAATGCTCCTTCAAACAAACTCCTCAGGACTCGATTTACACTTCAAATAACAGCAGAATGAAGGAGCAGCTGGTCCTTCACCTGGCAGAGAGCGAACACACACACACACACACACACACACACACACACACACACACCTGTAACAGCAGGCCTGTAAGCTGAGAAGGTCTCCTGTTGTGGTTGAACTGTCAGGAATGGATTATAGCTCAGTCTGATTTGTCTGTTTTTTCCACTTCCTTCCTCCATCGCTGTACGCAGTGTTAAAAGTATTGTACTGTCATACTCATCAATATCAATACACCATTAATTATAGCGCTCTCCCTCTTTGGGACAATTTGAAATCAAATGTAAAGTCACACACACACATCCTCAAGTCTCAACTGAAGAGATGTCTTATCTAAAGTGTCAAATAAACCTTCTTTATTTCTAACTGATTTTAAGGTTTCCTTTTGTATCTGCTCTCCTTATTATTGAGCATCAGAATGATGAAGAAAGGTGATTGAAGTGGCTTTGAACGTGGCATGGTTGTTGGTGCCAGACGGGCTGGTCTGAGTATTTACTGGGATTTTCACACACAACCATCTCTAGGGTTTACAGAGGATGGTCCCAAAAAGAGCAAATATCCAGTGAGCCAAAATGCCTTGTTGATGCCAGAGGTCAGAGGAGAATGGCCAGACTGGTTCAAGATGATAGAAAGGCAACAGGAAGTCAAATAAGCACTGGTTCCAACCAAGGTGTGCAGAAGAGCATCTCTGAAGCAACAACACCTTGTCCAACCTTGAAGCAGATGGGCTACAGCAGCAGAAGACCACACCAGGTGCCACTCCTGTCAGCTAACAACAGGAAACTGAGGCTACAATTCACCAAAACTGGACAATAGAAGATTGGAAAAACCACATTCAGATGGAAGCATGGATCCATCCTGCCTTGTATCAACGCTTCAGGCTGCTGCTGGTGGTGTAATGGTGTGGGGGAGATTTTCTTAGTACCAACTGAGCATGGTTTAAACACCACAGCCTACCTGAGTATTGTTGCTGAGCGTGTCCATCCCTTTATGACCACAGTGTACCCATCTTCTGATGGCTACTTCCAGCAGGATAACGCACCATGTCACAAAGCTCACATCATCTCAAACATGACAATGAGTTCACTGTACTCCAATGGCCTCCACAGTCACCAGATCTCAGTCCAATAGAGCACCTTTGGGATGTGCTGGAACGGGAGATTCTCATCATGGATCAACTGTGTGATGTCATCATGTCAATATGGACCAACATCTCTGAGGAATGTTTCCAGCACCTTGTTGAATCTACGACACCAAGAATTAAAAAGGGGGTCCAACCTGGTACTAGCAAGGTGTACCTAATAAAGTGGCTGTTTAGTATATATGCAAATAAAGATCAGTCTGACAATTCAGATTCTCTTTCTTTCTCTCTCAGTATCAGGGAGGGGAACCTGGAGCACATGCTGGCCAGAGAACTGGTTCCTGGAGACACCGTCTGTCTGTCAGTGGGAGAGAGAGTCCCAGCTGACCTCCGCCTCGTCGAGGTATGCACCAACACACACACACACACACACACACACACACACACACACACACACACTGATGTTTAATTATCAACTCAAAGGCCATTGTTAGGTCGTGTTTGTACCAGGCCTCTCCTTTCATTCTCCCGGTGCAGCCTCACTGAGCATGAATATATATTTTTCCAGGAACAAACTGTTCACACTCACACATATACACACACGCTGTCAGCAGAAAGCAGCTCAGCGTAACCACAGTACTGGGCTTTATTTTACAGCTCTCATTTCCATGAATTCCCTAGAAAGGCACTGATGTGTAACTGGGGATTCTTTGTCAACTTCCTGGAAGGGACTGTGAAATTTAGTAGTAAAATTAGGGACAATATGTCCACTGTTCAGCTGGTCCACCTCCAGTTAATTCATTTAAATGAAATGCTGGTGTAACCAGAGTCTTTTGGACGGTACACAGCAGGTCAGGTCAGCTCAGCATGCAAAGATGTCAGATTTCTACGAGCAAACAAACAACTCAGTGTCTATAAACTGTGAAGTTTCTGATACATTTGCTTGTGTTTCAATGGAGCCGTCCTTTCAAGGAAATCAACAGGTGGTTATAAACTTCACTTGACCCGTTAAACTCTAATACCTGTCTCCAAACTTTATCTCTATGTTTCCTACAACTGGTACCAGAATACATAATCCTTCATAGGAAACATTATAGGAAGTTACCAGGATATTACAGACCCAAAAAGAAAATGTTTCCGAAACATTTAGAAATGATCACATGCACATGCTAAGTTGAATTAATGTTATTGAGCAGGTAGTGAAGCCAACACAGTGCGACAGCAGTGAAAAACGTACTGTTTATAAACCACACGCAGGATTTATTTAGATATTTTTTAGTTAATTCATCCAGGTTACACGATATCAGCCCAATTATAGCCCGACGTAGCAACATATGGTGTTGTCTTGGATCGTGAATGACAATGAGTGACGTACACGATAATCCATCGTTTAATCTCGTGTAGTGTGTCATAGGAGACGACAACTGATGTCATGTCTAAGTCTAGCATGTTTGATTTTCCTTTTGTCTTCCACGGCTTCTCCCGTCGACTTTGACCAATAGGATCACAGAGCGATCTGCTGCCATGGAAACTGTGCGACAACAACAGCGCAGCCTTTTAGATATTTCCTGTAGGAACGTTAGCACACAGAGTAAAAAGGAAACAGCAGAGGTACTTTATCAACCCGCTGAGTACTGCCATTAGCATCAAGCTAGCAAAGAATGTTCTTTCTTCATAATGGAGGATATTATTATGCCTTTATTTTAACAGGGAGGTCCATTGAGAGCAAGCTCTTTTTCAAGGATGCCCTGCATTGAGCACAATTCAAAATACAGGTCACAACACATCAATGCAATACAAGAGTACATAAGTGTAAAGTGCCAAATATAATAGTAAACCAGACTAAGAATTAGTCTATGATTAAGAAGTTAAAAAGTTCAGAATACATATCACAACACATAATGCAGTAAACGAGTACAGTAATATAAAATGCCGAATAAAATAGACAGCCAGACTAGGAGTAACAAGAACATGACTGAGGAATCAAACTCACAGATAGTGTCTGGGCCTTTACTCAGCACAGCTGCAGAGGCTACCAGCTGCATCTCAAACACACGACATTAGAGACAGGCCCTCATTTATTATTCTGTTTTTAGTTTTAATCCCCTCCCTTTTGTCCTATTACATTTAATGCATTGCGCTGTTATTTCAAACTCAACACTTCCTGTATCTGTTTCAGATTAAAATGATTTTTTTTTTGACTCCACAATTGTCTAATCTGACAAAGTGACTGTTGGAACAGACAAAAAAACCAAAGTAAAGTCATGTCTCTTTCTGTCTGAGGTCACGTTTGTGTCTTAACTCCTTTCCGACATTAAAAAAAACAGTCACAACATCTTTTAACTCTCTGTTGTCACCGGCCAGACTGTAAAGGCGACAGACGAGCGCAGTGCCTCTCTGAAAAGAGAGTTTTTAAAGGTGGACACTCATAAAGGCAGAGAGCTCTGACAAACAGAGTTTAAAGAAACATTCTTCTTTCAAATATTAATACTTATTATTAATAATTAATTTCAGTGTAATGTGAGTGAAAACAGTTTGCATTGGCTGGGTACCTTGAGTCCCACTCACTGGCTTCACTTATATACAAACCCAGGCAGAGTCCAGATTTGCAGTTCAGAACTTGTATTGAAAATGAATAAAGGCAGGGGGTTACAACACAAGCACATGAATGATGTCGTTGTCCACAAGTAACAGGTGGAACAGGTATTGGTGATTGATGACTGATTTGACTGACTGGAAAACAATAGAAAAAAGAGGAGAGGCGTTCACCATAAATGTTGCCCTAATGGCACAGATGAACGACATTAACATTAAACAGTGGTCTCAGTACAGTATTGAAAAGGCTGGAAAAACAAAGTGCTAACAATGCATTAACTGGCAACTGTTACCATGATTATATTCATTAATATTAATTCACCAAGAGCAAAGGAACAACATTAATAGTACAAATCATAACACAAAGCAAAGAAATGGTGACATGACACACAAACCTGTCAGCGTGCCAGTGCGACACATAACAGACAAACTAGATTCAAAGAAGAAACAACAACAGCGTCCTCGTTTCCAGGGGCAACAAGACAATAAAAATGGACTCACATTTAGGCCTGTCACGATATGCGATAAGTCGGTTAATTGCACGGTAAATTTAAAGGGAGACGGTAACTTTTCTGGCTGCGATTAATTGCCATGTTCATGCAAAGACTGGACGACAAGAGCGTTCACTGCCATGCATCGTCTGGCAGCCAGGTGAGTTGGTTCATTAGCGTAATGAATAGAGGGAAAGCTCTTGTCATCGAGTGTCTTTGTCTCTGTGGGGGAGGCGGGGCTATGGGCTACACACACACAATGCGATCTTCGTGAGGGGGAGACGAGGCGGAGAAAAAAGAGAGTTGAGCGTAAGAGAAAGACAGGGAACTTGTTCCTAAACCAAATGCCACAGCATTTATTTATTTATATTTATTATTTATATGTTGTTTTTGGTTGTTGTTTTTTTCAAGTACAATTTTTCATAAGAGACTGAGAGTCCATTTTATTGTTTTTGGTTGTTTGATTTTTTTCCTATTACAGTGCACTTTTTATTAACAGTGATTGAGAGTCTATTTTTTTTGTATTTATAAGGTATTTATTTATGTATTTTGGTATTTTTTCGTGTTATTTCAGATATTTACATTTTCTTGTTGCATTCGTAAATATTCTTGTTAAATAAATGTTTATTTCTCTTTAAAAGGGTGTACTTGCATCAATATGCCTTTATTATCATTATATAAGTTTAAAAAATGGTCTAAAAACAGCAAAATTACAACAACAATAAAAATTGTCTTAAAAGCACAATATTACGCAATATTATCGCTTATCGCAATAATTTCTGACGCAATTAATCGCCCAGCAAAATTTGTTATCGTGACAGGCGTACTCACATTGGCAGTCACTCATCGGGTCCGTCAATATGTTTGGAGCATTGGACGAGATAGAACACTATGTATCGCAGCCCTCCAACGCTTCCTCCTCACACTAGCTGTATTCAGTGCGCCCCGCGGACCCGGGCAGTTTATCTAGAGAGATTTCTTCACAGTGAGTTTTGTTGCTCAGTATTTACCTTTAAAATTAGTCAGCAATCACCATGAATGACAAGGAAGACCAACTCATATTCTGTTTTAAATGTATCCTGCTCCTGATCTTGGTTGAGCCGTGTGTTTGCTCTCATAAACTTCGTTCTCTAGTTAGAGAATGAGTCAGAGAGTAAACACAGTTATCTAAATGAGGGTTTTCCTTCATCATGAGTACGGATATCGACGCATTTTACTCAGATGATACTCGTTCTTGAAGTACATTATCTTTATTGCTCTTTCATGAGTATGGGTAAACAAGTTTCTGCATTACCAACAACTCTGCCCTTGAAATTACATATGCTGTCTTTCACAAAAGATACTCTTGGGAAGAAAAAGGACATTATCTGTGCAGGGTACTCGTTTCTTCTCTTTCTTCTGTTTGTTCTTGGTTATGTTTTCGGGTAGTTCATTTGATAATTGAATAGAAAAGCGACTACTGTTCACTGACCAGTCACCCACTCTCTCAGGCGACTGACTTGTCTGTGGATGAGTCCAGTCTGACGGGGGAGACCACCCCCTGCTCCAAGTCCACCTACCACCAGCCAGCATCCACCAATGGAGACATCGCCTCCCGCAGCAACATCGCCTTCATGGGAACACTGGTGCGCTGCGGCAGAGCCAAGGTACCTGCAGCATCATCACATTTCTTCTTTCTTAACAATCATAACAATAGTTTTATGATATTTGTTCAGTCAGGCTGTGCACTGTGTACATGTTCTTTCCTTGGTTACATCCTGTTATAAACAACACACACAAACTGGAACAACTCAAAGCAGAAGACACATGTTTAGTCAAACACCTGCGCGTGGCCATGCAGAAAGATAAAACAAATATGAAACCCAAACAGAGTGTCATGTATATTCATATGTGAGCTGCTTGTCTTCTCAGGGCATCGTTATAGGAACCGGAGAGAACTCAGAGTTTGGAGAGGTTTTCAAGATGATGCAAGCAGAAGAGGTAAATTATCCTAATCCTCACTACCACTATGACTACAGGCTTCACTACTACAGCCTCTGCCACTGTCAGGGCGTTCAGTCGCACAGTGGTAACAGCATTTGGGCGTGACCATTTTTTTTGAACAATTCATCTTTCATTTCTGTATCTCCAGCTTTGCTTTGAAGCATTTCAGCCATCAGCATTCACTCTGCATTCTCTCACTGCATCTGCTCATGAACACTTGAGTAAACAAATCTGTTTCCTGTTTGTTGTGTTCAGGCTCCTAAAACACCGCTACAGAAGAGCATGGACCTGCTGGGGAAGCAGCTGTCGCTCTACTCCTTCGGCATCATAGGTTGGTTTGTTTGTTTCGCAGTCATCATCACCGCTGTCAGCCTTCATCCTCAGCATCTCTGTGTTAAGAGTTCATGTTGAGTCTGTGTTTCCTGTGCCGTGTCTCAGGGGTCATCATGCTGGTGGGCTGGCTGCAGGGGAAGAGGATCCTGGACATGTTCACCATCGGTGTCAGGTAGGATTTCACTCTGGATTTCACTCTGAATCAGCTGACTGATGTTTGCAGTGTGGGAGCTGAAGCCTCTCTGTAGAGACGGTGTGTGTGTTAAGTAAATGATTGAGCCCTGGCAGCAGCTCTGTCAGTCTACAGTTTACTTTTGTTATCAGATTATAACTCAGTGACCTCTGTCATGGCTGACAGGTTGACTTGTAGCAGGTGTAGAGCAGGTCTGGTTTTATTTACACAACGTCACTATAAAGACTAACAGAGACATTAACGAGGAACAGAACCATTTATGGCGTCGTTACTGAGAGGAGCAGGTCATTAACAAATAAAAATTAACCCTAAATGATCAGAAGGATATCATTCTCATGCCTGTGTGTTGAGGTTGGAGTTCTAGCAAACGTTGGTATTGTAAATGAAATATCAAATCGAATCAGGAGATCAGTGGTGAGACCCAGCTCTAGTTTAATACTAATAATACTTGTATCAGTAATGAAAGTAATCGTTAGTTGCAGCCCTGAGTGTGGACGCAGTTTATGACAGATCTCAGGTCAGCAGGCAGGTTGTTCCAGAGAACAGGATCCAGGTAGCTGAGAGCAGCTTCAGTAGATCTGGATCTTATGTTAGGTCCAGTTAGAAAACCAGCTGATGAGGTCTGACTGTGTCACAGAGCAGGGAGGAGAACCAAGTTTGCTCCTGTGGTCGTTATGTTCTAATAAAATATTGTCTCACCTTAACTTTTGTACTTGGTGTGATGTGTTGTGTTGATTATTGATTATTGATCACTGATCACCTCTCCTCCTACATCAGTCTGGCGGTAGCTGCCATCCCAGAGGGTTTACCCATCGTGGTGACGGTGACGCTGGCGCTTGGTGTGATGCGCATGGTGAAGAAAAGAGCCATCGTCAAGAAGCTTCCCATCGTAGAAACTCTGGGTACGTTAATTAATACACACTGTGTAATCATATCACATCTACAACACAACAGCTTTTACTTCATCTGTTACTGATGAGAGCAACATTTTATTATCAGCTGATCAAGGTGGGGCTGATTGTGTTTGTTTCTTTCTTGAAATAAGTGAAAAAATGTATTTTAGTTATTTCAACCAGCTGCTGTCTGAAATCAGCTTGTTTCAAGAAGTTTTTTAGAGATGAAAGAGTCTTAAAAAAATCTCTCACCTGTAAAAATAAATCTATTAAAACAGGTTGAAATTATCTCACTGTAATGACAGATTTTATTATTATTATATATTAGTATTATATTTCATTATACTTGTTTATAGAAAATAAAACTTTCGGGGCTCAATAATAGACAAAAATAAAGTTGTATACAGTGTGTGTAGTAAACAAAATGTTTAATCCCCACCTGCAGCTGTCAGATAAATATTGTACAGTAAAAAGTACAACATCTTCCTCTGAAATGTTGTCGAAATATAAAGTGACAGAAAATGGAAATTATAATAATAAACAACTTTGTTTTTTGCAGCTTCACCTGGTTGTGGTGCAAAAATAAATTACCCAACAAAAGTGTAAGATAAAAAGAACAGTAATACTAATAAAACAAATAAGACATGTCGAAAATAAACTACCAATAAAAAATATAAACAAAAATTTAAACCGTTTTTTAAGAAGTGATTTAAAAGAGATGTTAATGTAACTACGAGAGCAAAACAACAATTTATTAAGTCCCTGATTCAAAAGCTTAAGCTTATTTGTTAACGGCAGAAATTAAATGAAAGAATTAGCTAAAACCTTAAAATGGAAGAATTCATAAAAATCAGCAAAGAAACAAAAAGTTTCTGATCCTGTTTGATTAAGATTCATTTTTTAAATAATTACAACAAATATAGGTACAAACAAACAAGAACACGATTATAATAATGCTCGTATTAATAAGTGCAGCTTCATTTAGCTCATTTATAACAGATTTATATCGGGTGTGTTACTTCCTGTTAACAGTAACATTGTTTCCTCCGTCAGGCTGCTGTAACGTGATCTGCTCAGATAAGACGGGGACGCTGACCAAGAACGAGATGACCGTCACTCAGCTGTTCACGTCCGATGGACTCCATGTTGAGGTCTGAACCCCCTTCATCACTCAACATCATCATCATTGTCATTATAATCATTATAATCATCATCAGAGCAGAATAAAAGTTTAGATATACGTAGATATGCCAGCTTTAAGTCTGATTTCAAAATTAATTTGACACTTTGTCCAAAAGAGACAATGTGTTAAGTGTGTGTTTCCTGAAACTGCAGTTAATGCTACAGGTGTAATTAACATATTTTTTATGAAAAAAAAAATTAATATAAAAATAGAAACTAGGCAGATATTGGCAAAAATTCAAGTTATTTATTGTCATACGCACGATCACATAGAAGCACTCACTCCAACAGCACTCATAAAATATGTATAAAAAGAAAATCTTAGACATAAAATGGTGCAGAAGTAAAATATAGAGATAAAATATAACATATATAACATAAAATATATATTTGTGGTATATTTAAATTACAAAATTGATGGTTTAGTTTCAGTTTTTTCACAAAAAACAGTTAAAAATACTAGTATGTGAAATGGGGCACCCTAATAAGCTCTTTAAAGCTCTAAAGACATAAAGCAAATAGTAAAGTTAACTTATTGTAAATGGGAGTGTAGTAAATGTAAATGCTTAATGAGCGGTAATAAATGTAGAGAGACATCAAGAGATACAGTTGGGTAGTAAACAGTAAAACCATATGAAGGTTAAGTGACATATTGTCGAATTATTTAAATGAAATCACAGCTGAGAAATGAGAGCGCTGCTGTAACGTGGCATCTGACACCTGAGGAAGGTTCAGTCAGTCTCCTGCAGCCCGACCCACTTCCTTCATCTGGAAGTCCCAGCAGCCATACTGAGAGAAATGGGTCAGGTGACTGAGGACCAGGAGACCTCGTCTGGTTTTAACTGGATGTCTTTTTAATGACACGATGATATGACCTGTAACATCAGACAAAGTCGTCGACTGACACAGAAGAAGTCTTCCAACACCAACAGGAACTGACTGAATATGAATATGAATGTGACAACCGTCTGTTTATTCTGTTTTAATTGTGTATCAGTAGAGTGACTTGCCTGTTGTTAGTGTGTCCTTGTGTCTGAGTTGTTGTCCTGTGATGATGTTCTGCAGGTGACGGGCGTCGGCTACAACGGAACAGGAGAAGTTTTACTGGATGGAGAGATCATCCACGGCTTCTCCTGCCCGTCAGTCAGCAAGATCGTAGAGGTGAGTCCAACAGGTGCAGGAAAAGTCTGGAGAATTATTTTCACTTATCTTTCAATATTGAGTTAATAGCTTGTTTGCCATCACGCGACTATTATAATGTGCAGAAGAGGACCGATTTGAGTGCATGAGCGAAACACTTCACATGCAGGTATCCTGCTAACTGAATGACAACACCCATGTTAGAAGTGTCGTCTGTTGCAGGAGGTCAGCATTGTTTGCTCTGCTGTGACTTTGGTGTCCTGCTCTAGTTTGGAGAACGTGAGACAGCGTTCACGTGTTTTTAACATGTAACAAAAGCCTTGGTTTTTACCAACGCTGTATGGATGCAGATGGGTTCAGCGTTAGCTTGGCTGCAGCAGCTAATGCTATCTCTGAATGGTGGAGTGTGAGGTGAGCCCTCATGTTCGTAGTATTCCCAGAGTATTTTATTCTCTTATGACACTGCTGTAAATCTCATGTGTCACATCCAAGTCCTCCTTCTGTCTTAAAAGATCCAAAATAATCCCAGACGTTTGATTTAAACGCCGACCGCACATTTCTGATTTCTTTCTCTGGTGCCTTCATCTTTGTTTTGTTGAACTTCCTTCCAAATGCTGCAGACTGAGACCTCTGCTGACCTCACCAGGAAATAAAACATCAGCACCATCTAGTGGACCGAAAAAGCAGCTGATTTTATTATTCTAGTACCAAAAGTGGTATTAATGTGTATTTGAAAAAATTGATAATGTATATTATAAAAGATCGATGCAAAATATCATGATACTAAGCTGTATCGATTTTTCCCCACCCCTAGAGGAAAGTGACTTCATAAAAGAGTTGGATGAACCTGTAGGCTGCAGGTATCATCAGGAAATTGAGTTGTCAGGTGTTGACACGATCGTCTTTACATTATCTCATCCGTCATGCATCCTAACATTACTAACATTAGATGGTGAGCCACATGAAAGCGTACAAGAGTCTACAGGTTCTAATTATTTTGTGTGCAGTTGGGTCTTCGACCTTGGAGCCAAATTAGCATTGAACAACCTCTGCTCTTTCTTTGGCGTATGAGGTAGTGCGCTTGAGAATCACTGTCTTTTTGTGTTTCAGCTCTGTACATGATGCACCACGGGCGTCAGGCCACTGGCTGCCTAACTTAAGCTACTGTTTTCTACCTACTTGTTCAACTGTTCTGGTGAAACGTCATTAAATATCTGGGTTGTGGCCAAAGAACATAGTCACGGCACTTTATAATTGCTTGGCAATTTCATAGACTTTAAAAATAGTGGACATAGTCGCCATGATGTCACCCATGGATTTGTGGACCCCTGTTTTGAAGCCTCTTGGAGTTTTGGAGTCAGAAGCGACCATCACTGGAGGAGAGGCTGGAGCTAATCCTAACACTAGCTGCTAGCTTGGTTAGCACAGTGTATTTACAACTGTGGTTAACTGTGAAAATGCTCATGCTCATCTTTGCTAACAAAACATGCTTAAAATCTTTAAAACAAAATGTACTTGGCGGAAAAACTGAATGTCCGACTCCTTACAGGGTCTGTCAGTACAATTAAACGCTGAGCAAGACTTTTTAGGCAACCAGAACATTATAATTATCTTTTATAAACTGAAAACTGAATTAGATACAGCTACGCCTGTACTCTGTAAATCTGGCGTTACGTCACGATTATGTTTACTTTACCAGTGTTGTCACCATGGTAGATACCAGCCCTCAATTATGAGTAACTTTAAGTCTCGATAAAATATAAAGAGATAAGTTATATAAAAAAACTTGAAATTAGTTACAGTGACCAAAACTGTTTTTCATACCAGGCTGCAAACATATTTATCTCTGCTGTAAAGCTAGGCTTATAAACATGGAGGTCTATGGTTATTGCCTCGCTGTTAGTCAGCCTCAAGTGGACATTAGAGGAGCTGCAGTGTTTGGCACTTTAACATTGGCTTTATTTTTCAACCCCGGAGGCAACACCAACTCAAGACATGTTTAGCACAACGCTTTAACTTGACATTAGTTAACTCCACTCCTCCAGAGTAATGATGAAGGTTTATTGATCCACATCTGCTGTGTTCTCACATCTTCTCTTCATGTATGATTATTTTCGGGACCCAGAAGTAGCCCTTGTTTTTTCCCCATCAGCAGGAACAGCTGAAAATAGTGTGAATCACAGGTGTTTGTGCAGTGTTGGTCGTCTTTGCCCTACATCTGGAAAGTGTGCTAATGTATGATGTCATATGCAAAGAAGCTCTTCAATACTCAAAATATTTAAAATTGTTGACATTTAAGATGATTAACGTCGTCAGAATCCCACCGTAGGAGAGTATTTGTTTTTTTATCACACTACAAGTTCAACAAATGCTGTGAAACACAAAACATATTTTATTTATACTGTCTGTGTTTGCTTCTTATATGAGAAGAGATATTAATGGATGAATGTGTTTGTGTGTGACGTTAGGTTGGCTGTGTGTGCAACGACTCGGTCATCAGGAATAACAATATGCTGGGACGGCCGACGGAGGGAGCGCTCATCGCCCTCGCCATGAAGGTAAAAAAACAAACACTCAAGCCTCTGAGCCTTCACCCCAAATTGCATTCAGTCTGGACTCACGTTGGTGCCACAGGTGCACGACGGCTAACAGGTGTTATTTCACATGCTCAGATTTAGAGGGGAAAAATCTGATAAATTAACTGATAAAGTTCAAGCTCGAGGAAAGAAATGAAACACTTAAAAGAACTAGGAATTTATTAAGAAACTGAAACCAGGAAGTTTGGACCTACAGGGCTTCCATCCTGTAATGAATCTACAAAAATGTTACTGCACCACACAAATAAATGAAGGGATAAATGTAACCTGTAATGTAATGTAACAGCACAGTGTTGATGTTACAACTGTGCATGGAAACATACAGAAGAATTTAACCAAAAAGAATCAGAACCAGAATCAGTTAAAGCCAGACGACATGAAACACTTCACTTCTTCAGTTTTATTTATTTTCCTTTCTCTGGTCGACAGTAACAAGTAGAGACAGAGAGGAATTGTGTTGACAGAAAGATGTCATGCAACAAAGGAAACGAGGACACATCTTAGACCATGAGGACAGCAGGATGCTCCCTCAGACAAAGCTCTCATCCTGACAGAAAGGGAGGACAGAAACACTGTTGGTTATCTCCGCCTGGAGGCGATCATGTGTTAGCTCGTGCATTTTGTGTGTACATTTAGACTGTATGCTAGAGGAGGCCTCAGGGTGAGGTGATGCATAATAGAGATGATTGTTGTATATTGTCACTGACTGCTAACGAAGACTGCTCCTCTTAACTGGTCACAAGTCATCAACAAAATCACATAGCAAAAGCATCGAGCAAAACGCAATTATGGAAATCGTCTCAGCTAAAAACAAAAATTCAAATGCTGGCAGTGTTGGGCAAACTACTTGGAAAATGTAGTGAGCTAAGGTAACAGTTACTCTACATCAGAATAAAGTTTCACCACATTGAAGCTATCCACAGAGAAATGTAGCAGCTAAGCTACTAGCTAATGGCCAAAGTAACTCATAACTTTTCAAATCAGTGTTTTCTCAGTGATCAGGAAAACTGTCAGCCAAACAGAGAGGCAGCAAAAGAATATTCAGTTTAACTGTTTATTATAAAATAATAGACTTATATTAAAACTTTCCTCTCTTTGACATTTGAACATGTCTCCAGTAACTTTTTCTGGACATGAGAACATGAACATGTCCTGCACGTAACACGTGACATCAGTATGTCCCTCTCTGTCCTGTCTCAGCTCTTCCTTTGGTCCTTGTTGTGTCTGTTTCTCTGGTGTTCACTATAAATTTACTAAATATATACAGTCTGTGGGCGAGACACGTGAGAGACACGTCAAGAAGTGCAGCGTAGCCAATCAGAAGCAGAGTATGGTGGGTCTTGCCAAGAAAAGCAGCAAGCAGAACAATCTGCAGGATTGGTATGTGATGTCATATAGGAAGTGCTTCCCTCATCTACATGTCTCAGTGTGATCCTCAGTTTTATTGGACACTGAACAACACTGCCAGCATCTGAATTTTTGTTTTTAGCTGAGACAATTTCCATAATTGCGTTTTGCTCGATGCTTTTGCTACGTGATTTTCCTGGCTGCACCTGATTGGATGACCACTTTCAGTCACTTTGCTCTGCTCTACGTATTTCAAACCAAAGACCAACACTTACATTATGAAAATAGTTCACCGAAATGTGTTTCTGAAAACATTTTGGGTGAGACATACAGTTAATGAATCTGTCTTCATTTCAGATTGATGGTTAGTTTAAAACCTTTCAGGAGATTCTAGAGGCGGCGAGTTTCACTGGATGCCCCTGATTTGCATAAAGTAGCCTCGACCTCATATTCTTGGAAATGAGAAGCGGCCAACGTGTCACCTCATCTCTGGGAAAGTAACACAGTGCTGCCTGAATGCATCGCACGGCTGCTTATGCAGACATAAAAGGGAAGTGTGGAAATGGCGGATCCTGTGGACACGTGTCATTACTGTCTGTTACAGGCTGCGGTTTGGCTTTTGTTGTGTTTATGAAACTGACATCCATAGAAAAGTTTGGTCTCTTTTTGATCGGGAACATCTGCAGATTGATTCCATACCTGATATGTTATGATCCACTGAAGTCAGGCACGATACAAGATAAATAAGTCCCTGTTTTCATTATCTCTGCTGCTGTCCTGACTGTAAGGGAGCCGGAAGGGATGGCTGAGTGCATACACACTTCCTGCCCCCCACCCACATGACCCCAGACACACCTGGTGGAGATCTGCACCTCACTGAGGGCACTTTTCTACTTTTATATTATATTAAATGTGAAGAGCTGATTTTCAGCTGCAGCACAGAGAGCTTCCTCTCTCTGTCAGCGAACAGTGTCGGCCACGTTGCATCATGTCATGATGAAGAAAACTCTCAACGATGAAAAGATGAATCTGAGCCTGAAGGACGAAGAAGAACAGACGCCGTCTTCATTTTATTTCTTGTCGCTTGAGGTAGACCGCCTGTCGTCCGCCTGCCCTTTACTGGTGTGACTGGGGAGATGAGTCACAGCTTACGCATGACTATTAATGCGGGGTTTTTTTGTCATTTATTAAAGCACACTGATCTTTAATTTTTAATGTTTTTATTTTGTTGGCTGTGTTTGGATCAGGGTGCTCAGGGGAAGAGCGATCTCTGCTGTGCGTCATGTTTTCATCTTTAAAGGTGCCAAAATGGTTCCACATTTATGTGAAGGGATTGTTTGGAGCTCAGTGCGTCTTCCACTGTGGACCCGTCAGCGTCTCTGACACACTGAGTCACCGACAGATAACAAGCACAAAAGAAAGAGACTCATTTTGTCTCTGACATTGTTATTTTCATTTCAGTGTTTGGTATTATTGATACACATTGTCATCATATCGACCCCATTTATGACACTGTCATTACATCCGTACAGTACTGTACTCTGCTTTTATAACAGTTATTGTTCTTTTTAACTTTATGAACTTTATTATAACAGAGATAAAAACAGTTTTATTCAGACACCAATAACATCTGTTTGTAAAGAGGACTTTCTACAACCTAAAATTAAAGACCATTCAAACATATCTCAAACTGGGAGCTCAAAGTTGAAACCCAGATGGTTTAACTTTGAAGGAATCCTGTGCTGTCTCACCAGATGAAGCAGACGTGGTCATTGCTTTCTCCACTCACCTGGCCAGATGTTTGATCCTTTAAATTGGAAGCAATGCACTCCCCCAGCCTTTTCTCATCGGGTCAAAGATGTCACATGCAAAAGGTCCTTTCAAACCTTTATTAAGACGTGGAGACCCTTTTTGGATTTTTTTGGTTTGCTACAGGAGCCCCTCGATGAAGAGGAAGATGGCACCCCCCTCCTTATTTATTTATTTTTTTGTTCTGTTTTTTGTTTGTTTTCACGCACTCACTCACAGTGCAATACAGCGCTGCTAGTTTGTGTGTGAGGTGGATCACAGTGTGTTGCCGTTCTTCTTGGTAGTTGTAGTCTAATGTGTGACACTCAGACAGTGCCTGGATGCAGGCGACAGATGTGTTTAAATAAACGCAGCAGCAACACAGACGTTTCATACACAAGACGTATATAACGCAGACAATGTGTCTGTCGCTCCGTCCTTCCCTCTCGCAGCCTCTCTGTTGATGCTCTGTGCATAAATAAGATTAACAGCCTAAATTAATACAAAGATTTAAATCATCTTCCAGCACTAGATTCATTTGAAAGGCCAACAGATGGAAAATGACTTTTTACCTCCCCTCACAAAGATTTTTAATTGTTCTAAACTACAATAGATTTAGACCTACTTGATCCTTTTATACTCATGTTATAGTTTAGTGTCCTGTGCTGCAAACCTTTGAACATCTGTAGCTCCAGTGATGTGTGCAGAAAGTTAACGTACAGGCCTTCTTTTATTTTATATCATTTTTCATTTACATGTTGTGCAGCTGTATGTTTTCAAACAGGATAAAAAAATCCCTGCCTTTGCATTTTATTTTGATCACAGTCTGTTTTATATTATATTTTATATTTGATCTCAAATGACTCTGACTTGCAGCTGAACATGTAGCCCATTTTGTAGAAAATAGGGACATACATATCGTGCATCACCAGTCAGCCTAAAAATACGGAGATATGGTTTTTGTCCGTATCGCCCAGCCCTAGGTTGTAGGGATGAAATCAGGGATTCTGATTTCAGTTTGTCAGCATATATCATGAATAGTGTTCCTCTACAGCCGGGGGAGGATTGGTTGAATTGAAGTCAAATATACATGTTTTGTATCTGTTTTATGGGATGAAGATTTTGAAAATCTATAAAAGATATTTACAAAAAAAAAACAGAGACTTGATGGTCACTAAAAGTGCATGCAGAAAAAAGTGGGTATATTAGTATTGGTATTAGTTATTGACCAGTTAAGTTGTTATCTATCGGCACATCAGATATCAGCAAAAAATCCAACATTATAATCACACTTACACTCTCAAATGGAAATAAGAATACAGAATGATGCAGTGCAGATGTGCTCTTGTTCAGGCAAAGATCAATAAACTCAGTAAATGAGCTGATTGGACTATTAAGAGGAGTAAACTCTGACATGAGTGAAAACAGTCTTAAATGATATGAAAAGTTGGTCTTTGTTGGTTTGTTCTTTTAATTCATTATTTCAACATTTAACATTTTTACACTCTTACTATGTGTTGCTATACACCTCACCCTCATCACCATGACAACCAACAACATCATTAGGACAATATAGACACATGTTCCGGAGAGGAAAATTCACCACATCATCATCATCATCATCATCATCTTTACAGTCTATTCCTGCTGTTCCACAGTCACAGAGACGTTCACCGGTAAAACCTTCAGTGGGAGGTGATCCACAGTGTTCATGAATGGAAACATCCTCTCAGTGAAAGTGTGTGTGAAGGTGTGTATGTGTGTGTTAGTGTCAGGATCCCAGAACGACAGCTTCCCTCTGTCCCAGTCCAGACTCACTCTGATCCTCTGGAGCTTCTTCTGCACTCGGACGTTAGTGTCCGGATGTGACGGGGAGAACGAGTAGTACACACCGTAACAGAAACACAGTCTCCATAATCCAGACTCTATGTGTCCCTTCCTGTGGACAGACTCTGCTAACACACCCAGTGTCCAGCCTTTACTGGTCCCGACCTGCACGTCCCAGCTGTGAGTCCCTGAGTTAAAGCCCTCAGAGCCCAGGACAGAGCAGCAGTAGTGATCCATCCTCTCTGGGTTATCAGGACGCTGCTGTCCCTCTCCTCGTCTCCCGCTGGTCAGGTCCTCAGACAGGATGAGTCTTTGACCAGCAGTGTTTGGGTCCAGGATCACAGGAGTGTAGGAGACCACGTCCTTCATCTTGTTCCAGATGTTGAAGGTCAAGTTGCCCAGGTGTTTGGCCTCGTCTATCAGAGCTCCTGAGAGCAGCTGTAGATCATCCAGCAGGGGGCGCTGCTGGACTCTGTCCACTGCAGCCTTGTAGTTGAGCAGGAATGAGACGTCTTCCGCTCTCAGCTCGTCCTCTGTGGCTCTGACTGTGTGTGAAAGAGCTGCTATCTCTCTGCTCAGAGCCTCCATCTTCTCCTTCATCATCTGACTCTTCTGCTCCTCTTCCTCCCTCAGTGCAGCCATCCTGGCCTCCTCTTCCTCTTTTAGAAGCTGGTGAAGCTTCTTAAACTGCTCCTTAATCTGCCTCTCTGTGCGTCGGGCCTGGACCTTTATGTGTTTTGCTGTTTGATCAAACTTCACTTTAGCTTGCTCACAAACCTTTAACTTCTCCTTTAAGGGCTCCAGAGTTTCCTCAAGTTTCTTCTTGTGTTGTCGTGCAGCTTCATCGACGGGTCTGAATCTGTGGTTGGTGTGTTTTTCTGAAAGACTGCAAGCGTAGCACACTGGCTGCTGATGGTCCAGACAGAAGAGTTTGAGCTTCTCAGAGTGCAGACTGCAGAGAGCCTCTGAAGCGCTCTGATCTCTCTCCTGTAAGAAACTCTCACACAGCTTCTGTAACACCAGATTAGGAGGTGGTTCCTCCCCTGTATGTCTTCTCTTACAAAGCGGACACTCTGTGGTGTTTTCCTCCGTCCACCACCTCTGCAGACAGACTTTACAGAAGCTGTGGCTACATACCAGGATGACAGGATCCTCAAAGATGTCGCAGCAGACAGAACAGCAAAGATCTTCCTCCAAACCTGAAGCCATTTAGTCTGTGAGTGAGAGTGAAAACACAGCAGGCAGACAGCTCAGCCACTCCCTGAAAGTTACGTCCACCTTGTGTCTTGTTGTAAATCTCTCACTCAGAGTTTGCAGTCAGCTGCAGTGTTGCCTCCTGCAGCTGTCCTCTCTCAGTGGAAGTGGAGGTTTTGGTCTGAGGGTGAATCGTATCATCCGTCTCTCAGTGTGTGTGTTTGTGTGTGTGTGTTGTCTTAGTGAAGCAGAATAATGATCTGTTTCCTGGTTTGTCTGTGGTGAGTCAGGTGATGGGCAGAGCTTCATAATGAAAGTTTTTTTTTTTTTTTTTGGGTTGGGTTTCATTCCAAAGTCATTAATAATTTCTTAGGAACACACAGAAGTCTTGTCCTCGTCAGATACTGTACACTACTTCTGTCTTTGTCTTGTAGTTTGTAGTTCATTCACACAAGAAATGATCCAGAAACAAATCGGATCAAATAATCTCAGCATGTAAACTAAAATCACCAGTTTCACCAGACTCTCCATTTTTTACGTTACACTCCATTTCCATCCAGAATCAGTCAAACTCAGGTCCTGTCTACACACGTACAGATGATTTGTAAAATGAATGTTTTTCCCCTCCCTTTAAAAAAAAAAATTCTGTCCACACAACCTTAGTTTTACAAAATATCTCTGTCCACACGAGCACAAAAATGACTGCAAACACTCGCTGGTGGCCGGCGCTGTCCTTGTATCAGGGGTGTCCCCTCGTCACAAAGGAAGTGAAGTGGTCCCTTTTTTAAAACACCAGCTTGAGAGCTAGTCACTGTTGATTTCTTTTTAGTCAGAAAGAGGAACAAGAAAAATACGTTTACAAAAATATCTGTGTAGTTATAGTCAAAGGTCTGGAACCTGGCAATATAAATCATATGCTTGTCATCTGCTGGAAACATTATGAACCTGAACCTCACACCCCATTTACAGCTGGTACAAAAGAGATGATGATTGTGATCATGGCAACAAGAACAACAACGTCAGCAACAAGAAGGAAACCATAGCAACAACAACAACAGTAATACAAACAAAAAAACAGAACACAGTGAGGAATGATGAAGTGCATGTGAAGTGAGCTGTGTGCTTCACTGTGTCAGTTGCAGATGTGTGTTTGCTTGCTTGCAGAGGTGACAGTAAAACAGTGAATGACAGCGAAGAAAAAAATCACAATTCTGTAACTCAATAAATAAATGAATAAAAAGTGAGAGTGATTGTGAGAATACATGTGTAGATCCGCAAATATACTGTGGGTCAAAGTTATGAATCAGCTGTTGTACTGATGTCTATCTTCCTGACAGAGAGAAAAACTAAGGTTTACTTAGTTAAAGCAACTATAGTGAAGTAAAAAGTGCAATAGCTCCATCTGAAGTGTAGTGGAGGAGAAGTAGAAAGTGTCAGTGGACAGTAAAACACTCAAGTCAAGTAAAAGAACCTCAAATTTGTACTTGAATGCTTGGTGGAGGAAGTATTCAGATCCTTTACTGAAGTAAAAGCTAAAATCACACTGTAAAAATAACAGTTATTAGTAAAAGCCCTGCATTAAAAATGTCACTTAAGTGAAATTATGTCAGAACAATCAGAAAAATGTATTTAGGTATTGAAATTAAAAGTATTTAATGCAGAAAAACTTAAAATAATTAATTAAAAAAGAAAAGCAGCAAGTTCTCATATTCAAGAAGATGAAACCATGAAATGTTTCTGCATAAAAAATGAATTTAAAGGTTATCAGACTTTATGCTAAGTAATTTTCTAATCAGTGGACTAATGGTTTCATCTGCACCAGTGTGTGTTTGCATGGTTTGGACATAAAAATCTGTAAATGAACTATAGTGAAGTCAAAAGTACAATAACTCCATCTGAAGTGTAGTGGAGGAGAAGTAGAAAGATCAATGAACGTGTAGTGGCATTTCTTTAGCCCACAGATTAATAATCCAATCACTGTAATTACTCTGAAACATATTAATCTAAATTTGGTGATATTAATGCATTTTTAAAAAATGTTCTTCAGATTTTGGACAAACAATTTGTAGACAGTGAAAATAACACTCTTGAGAGTGCTCTTGACCACTTGTAAAATTTTCTCTCAGCTAAGACAAGAGCAGAGATAAGAAAATATTGGTGAATCCCAGAAACCAATAGCTACTAACACAATAAGAACAAATTGTTGATATGAACAAAAATAAAAGAAAAAATGTTCATGAATCTCCACTGATTATTTTATTAATCAGCTTCAGGTTTGTTTCGATCATAACTTAAACAGATACCAGGACTTCTATAACCACAAAAATGTCCTACAATTATATTTATACTGTAAACATGTTTTCACAAAGTCAGACACATTGAACTTTTGTTTGATTTGATATTTTATTGTGTTTTTTTGTTGTTTTTTTTCCACTTATTGTTTGTTGTTTTATTTTGTTGAGGGTTTTTTTAGAGTGTCCGAGAAGACATAAGGTGTCAGGTGTGTGTATATGTATGTATGTATATATATAT